CCAGTAGAAGTAACTAACATTCTTAGTCACATTGCCAAGGCACTGAATTGCTTGATTTTATACTTCTAGCAAAGCAAGGCCCTCCCATCCTTGGGGATTACAAACAGACATGGATTTTGGGCTGGACAAGGAAATACAGTGATGCATGGCAGAGATTCAGATGGGAAACAAGTTAAAGGCACAGCAGTAATACTAGCACAGGGTGCTTTTCACCAGTAATTATAGTCTCCTAACTAGAGCTGCATGATTGAGATCAAAGAACATAGCTTTGGATTTGGGACCTCATTCTTCGCTCGATAGCCACGTGGACTGGGGTGCATAATCTCAAGTCACTGAGCCTCAGTTTCCTCATCTACAACATCAGAGAACAGCCCGCAAGTCATCTTGTGAGTATAGTACCTGGATGCTATGATGTAGCCACAAAGGTGAGCTGTGGCTCTCCTGCCTAGAACTTCAGTGGAAGCAGGAAGTCCACTACATGAGAATGCACATGTCTTCTGCCACATTAAAAATGTTAATGTGCGGCCGGGCGTGGTGGCTCACGCCTGTGATTCCAACACTCTGGGAGACCGAGGTGGGCGGATCACTTGAGGCCAGGAGTTCCAGACCAACCTGGCCAACACAGTGAAACCCCGTCTCTACTAAAAATACAAAAATTAGCCGGGTGAGTGGTGGCGCATGCCTGTAATTCCAGCTACTTGGGAGGCTGAGGCATGAGATGCTTGAACCCGGGAGGTGGAGGTTGCAGTGAGCTGAGATCATGCCACTGCACTCCAGCCTGGGCAACAGAGCGAGACACAGTCTCAAAAAAAAAAGTTAATGTGCTTGATTTTTGTGCATCCCTCTCTCTTTGTATTGCTAGAAAACATTGAGCATCTTGGTATCTGCCTGGGAAATGAGAGGAGGTAGGAAGGAGGTTCGCAGGGAAGGCAGCTGGTGGGAATTGCAGTGGAGGTGTGTACAGATCGACAGCGGTAAACAAGCCACTGCCAGCTCTTATCCTTGTTTATTTATTTAAGTTGTGGCTCCAGTCCTAAATTATTTTATAAGAAGGGGCAGTTAGAAAATAACAGTCCAGGAGGATTAGGTTCCTGGCCAAGATAATTCCAGGATCATCTGGAAAAGCAGCTGCAGCTACTAAGAGAAATGGCCAAATGCTGGCAATCGTGAGGCAGGTAGGGGCTGGGTTAGGAATGCCTACACCCTCCAGGAGGAAGAAGGCAGAACAGCTCCTGTTTTTTGGAGACAAGCGCTTGAGCTAAAGAGGTTAAGGCGGTTTGAGTGCCTCTGAGTTCATTCCAGAAGGGTGGAGATATTTGATGCCACAAATGAGGCACTACTGGGCCCCTGTACAAGCACTCGTAGGCGTTCAAAGTGCAAAGGCCCAGTGGTTCTTCACTGAGTCCCTGCCGGGGTGGGGAGGAGGACAGGCAGAGCTTCTGACCCCACACAGCTGTGTCTTCCCACAGTGAAGATGCTGGTTACTGCAGGATGGCTGCTCCCAGAGCCACTCTTACCCTCAGGAAATTTGCCGTCTCTTTCCTTGTTCCTCTTGTTTGATCCAGGGAAACCGGGACTTCTTGATGGAAAGAACAGGCTGCTCCTGGCCAAGAAGGGCCTGCAGCTGCATGTCTTTGCTTCAGAGAAAATCCACCCTCCCTAGGAGGAAGGAGGCTTTTGGCCATAAGGACTTCCCAGCCACAGAGGCGGCTGCAGGGTGGCTGAGTTCCAGACGCCCTCGACATCCCAGTCTGAGTGTTCAATCTGGTCTAGCAGTTTCTTTCCTTCCTTCCTCCCTTCCTCCCTTCTCTTTCTCTCTCTCTCTCTTCTTTCTTTATCTTTTTTTCATTTATTTCCTTCCTTCCTTCCTTCCTTCTTTCTTTTCTTTCTTTCTTTCCTTTTAATTTTTGTACACATGGAGTCTTGTTATACTGCCCAGGCTGGTCTTGGCCTCCTGGCCTCAAGTGATCCTCCCGCCTTGGCCTCCCAAAGTGCTAGGATTACAGGCACAAGCCACTGCATCCTGCCTGCTCTAGGCATTTCTGAAGAGCAGGGTTGGGAACAGGACTCTGACTTTCCACATGGGTGACTTTCACTTTTCTTAGAGCAAGTGCTATCAACTACGTGACTTGGGTCAGTAGACAAGATGTTCCTTGGGTTTCTAAAAACATGTCATTCTGTGAGTTTCTTTTATAACCTACAGGGCCAGAAGGGGTTGCATGCTCTGGGACTGGGGAAGGAGCAGAGGCTGACAGCACTGGTTGATTCAGATCTAGTTGAAAGTTGGCCCTCCCCCAGAGCAGGAAACCAAGGCCCTGCAGAGAGAGAGGACTTGGATAAAGTCACACATCTACTTAGTGATGGGGCCAAGACCAGAATCCAGGCTTCTTGCTTCTTATTCCTCTGCCCTCTCCCTCTCACGCAGACCAGCAGTGTGCAGGCAGCCTAGAGGCAAGGGTAGGTGCCTGCCCCCACAGGCTGCAACTGCTGGGCTAGAATGTCCAGAGCCCTAGCCTTGCTGGGTCCCACACTGCATGTCTCCTACACCTATATCCTTCACTATGCCCCTGCAAGAGCCTTCATCTCTTCCCTCCTCATCTTGGCCCCCTTCCCCACAGTTCACACGCTGATCCATGTTCCTCAGCTGTCACATTCTCTAAATTGCCTAAACTGCTGGTCTGCTGGTCTGGTGAAGGTCCCTTCCCAAGGTTTTTTTTTTTTTTTTTTTTTGACAGGGTCCTGCTATGTCACCCTGGAGCGTGGTGGCGTGATCACGGGTCACTGTAGCAGCCTTACCCTCCCAGGCTCAAGTGATCCTCCCACCTCAGCCTCCTGAGTAACTGGGATGACAGCTGTGCACCATCATACCTGGCTAATTTTGTTTATATTTTGTAGAGACGGGGTCTCACTATGTTTCTCAGCCTCGTCTTGAACTCCTGGACTCAAGCAATCTGCCTGCCTTGGTCTCCTGAAGTGCTGGGATTATAGGCCTGAGCTGCTGCACCTGGGCCCCTCCCAAGTTTTTGCAGTGGTTGTTTTCTAGGTTTCAGAGCTCTTGGGAAGGAAAACTTTCTGGGAGAGTGAGTCTTTGAAGAGGAAAGAATATGGGAAGAGAAGTCCTCCCTGGGGCTCCCAGAAGCGGAGGAAGTGCTTCCAGCAAGCATAGGCGGCCGACCTGGCCGGGTGTGCAGGGTACACGTCACTGCCTCTGGTGCACCTGGGTTCAGGCTGGTCACCCGTGGAATAACTGTTCACTCATTAGGAGGTGTGACTATCACCTGACCGTGGGAAGCCAAGTTTGACTGCTCAGGTGGTAAACTTCTGAGTGCTTTGGATTAAATTTTGCTGATTTTCTGTACTCTGACTGCTTTTCCTCCCATGCCCCCTGGCTCCTGGCTCCCTGCACTGTGCCGCTGCCCAACTTTGCCCCTTGCCAGCATGTACACAGATGCACACGTGGACTTGCATACACAGGCACAGGCATACGGACACGTGCTTCTTTGCCTGTGGAAGGTGGTAGTAGCAGTTGTTATTTCAGCGGGATGTTGTGAGGATTAAATAGGGTCATGCGTGCAAAGTGCATGCGGTGTCAGCATTTAATACATCATGTCTTTGATGAACTGTGAGCATGCGCCTAGTTTCTACCTTTGACAAATAGATATGATAATATGTCTGCATCTTAAGCCTATTGTGAGGATTAAATGAGGTGATGCAGTAGCTTCCTGTGAAATGAAGAATGCCTTATATATTGAAGGCAGCGATGTAATGAAGAGAGAACCAGCATCACTGATTCAACACCCCCCCCCCTTTTTTTTTGAGATGGGGTTTTGCTCTCGTCACCCAGGCTGGAGCGCAATGGTGCAATCTCAGCTCACTGCAACCTCTGCCTCCCTGGTTCAAGTGATTCTCCTGCCTCAGCCTCCCTAGTAGCTGGTATTACAGGTGCCCACCAACATGCCTGGCTAATTTTTATATTTTTAGTAGAGACAGGGTTTTGCCATGTTGGCCAGGCTGGTCTTGAACTCCTGACCTCAGATGATTCTTGGCCTCCCAAAGTGCTGGGATTACAGGCATGAGCCACGGCACCCACGTTTTCTTAAGAGGAGCAGAATGCACACAAATGTCTTATCCTATTTCCAATTCTTGGGCTTTTAAGGTACCTTGAAGTGTTTCTGGCTTGTGATGCTCAGTAAGTTCTTTGAAATGTCCACCCCGGAATCCCTATCCTGCCTTTCTGGGTCCCCTGGGAATACTTCCTGTCAGAGTTTGCTGCTGGAGACCCTGGCTTCTGCAGCCAAGTTAAGCTTCAGTACAAAACGAGAGACCTTCCTGCTTAGGTGGCTATCTCTCCATTTCATGTATCTTTCTTCCTAGCAGCCACTGAGCCTGTGCTCCCTTGAGCTTCTGTAGCCAATGGAACTGTGTCTGGATGAGGGACTGGGTCCACCTCACTGCTTCCTCCCAGTCTAAGGCAGCCAAATCGCTGGCATGGGTGGGTCCTTGGCTGGCAGCCCTCTGGCTGAGAATCTGAACTTAATTGATGGTTGGCCAAGAGGCAGCCCAGCAAAGACTGAGGCTGCTCGAAGCTGCCTCTGGGTGGGAATGGGACTGGCATCCTCCCTTGCCTCAGCGAGCCTCCCCTGGCTATGGGAGTCACCGTTTTTCTGGTCTGGAGGGCCGTCTCTCTATAAAGTGGTGGCCCTTGTAGTTTAATTTGGTACCTCCTAATTTCCTTCCAGAGGACCTCCCTGCACAGGGTTTGGGCAAAGTCTTTTTGGTGAGCCACAGAGCTCTTCCTGGTCTTCTCCCTCAGCCTGGGTTGATTCTGTGAACAATCTCACAACCCCCTAGGAACAAGGGCCCGCTGGAAGGTGCTGGGCCTAGTGAGGTTGGAATGAGATGAGCTGGAATGTCCCATAGGATGCCATTTCTTCCCTTCAGGTCCTTTCTGTCACTGTCTCTAACTTCAGGCTGGCTTCTGCTTCTCCCCCACCCTGCAGGACCTGTGTGGAGCTACCACCTGCGACACCCTGGGCATGGCTGACGTGGGCACCATGTGCGACCCCAAGAGAAGCTGCTCGGTCATCGAGGACGATGGGCTTCCATCAGCCTTCACCACTGCCCATGAGCTGGGTGAGGCTGGATGAGCTCCTCCTGGGGTCTTCTGGGTTTGCCTGGGATGCCCTGGAGGGTGGGAGATGTGTGTCTTTGCCCCTTTGTGTTCTGAAGCCTTACGATCCCTTCTTAGGGCACAGCGAGCCTTAGCAGCAGCTTTGTTTTACTGTTTCCAATCGCCCCAGCCCTGCTGGCCAGTGACATGATCTGAGCCCCTCGGCAGGGTGTCTCAGCACTTAGATACTGTGGGGACACCATGTCAACGACAAGGAGTTAGTACACTCTATTGTCGGGGAGCCGACAGCCTGATGGAGGGGACAGGAAACACAAGAACATGATCTCCAGGACGTTCGAAAGCAGTCTGTCGATAGGTGGCAATGACCAGCCTGAACGCTGACATAAGCTTTCTAGTTCCCCTGCCCCATTTCTCCCTCCAACCCCCTTGTCCTTCCTCCTGCCCTCTCAGTCCTCTTGCCTCACCCACAGGCCACGTGTTCAACATGCCCCACGACAATGTGAAAGTCTGTGAGGAGGTGTTTGGGAAGCTCCGAGCCAACCACATGATGTCCCCAACCCTCATCCAGATTGACCGCGCTAACCCCTGGTCAGCCTGCAGTGCTGCCATCATCACCGACTTCTTGGACAGCGGGCACGGTGAGCCAGGGCAGTGGGAGGGGAATGGGGCCACCTTGGAGGAGGCTTTGCTGCTGGCCCTGGTGGAGGTGCCCATCTCTCCATCCTCTGTACCTAAGGTGTCATGTCCCCTTGGAGCTGGGCTCTGACATGAGTGCATTCCAGTTGCCCTTGGTTCATTCTCCCCTTACCATTCAGATTCTGGGCTAGCCAAACCTTATCTTCCCAGCTCATCCTAATGAACGCCCTTGGCTTTCTGCAGGTGACTGCCTCCTGGACCAACCCAGCAAGCCCATCTCCCTGCCCGAGGATCTGCCGGGTACCAGCTACACCCTGAGCCAGCAGTGTGAGCTGGCCTTTGGTGTGGGCTCCAAGCCCTGTCCTTACATGCAGTACTGCACCAAGCTGTGGTGCACTGGGAAAGCCAAAGGGCAGATGGTGTGCCAGACCCGCCACTTCCCCTGGGCTGATGGCACCAGCTGTGGCGACGGCAAGTTCTGCCTCAAAGGGGCTTGTGTGGAGAGACACAACCTCAATAAGCACAAGGTGAGTGAGTGCTAGAGCCATGCTCGGGTACTGCTGGGAGAAAAGGGATGGAGACCTGGGGGCCTCCCCTGCCCTTGGTCTTTACCAGGAAGCTGCCCATCACAGACTGGCCATGGGACCATCACTGTTGCATTGCTGAGCTGTGCCTTCACTGCTTTCTATATGGTCCTATCACCTTCTGGACTCTAAGATGGGAGAGAAAAGCTATGGCAGGTCAGAGGACTTGGTGAGGCCTCAGACACATGGGAAAAGTCCTCAGCAGGAGGTGGGGTCTCTGCCCTGAGCTCCAGGCCTTGTCTTACCTGGGGAGGAGCTCTGGGCTCAAAGCTGAACACCTGGTGTTAGGAGTGGCTCACTCACTGGCTCCTCTCTTACTTCCCTCATCCACTCTTTCCCAGTGTGCTCCACATCCAGGGAGCTGGGGACCATGCGCAGTAACAGGGCTCAGAGCTGCAATGAAGCAGAGCCCTGGGCAAGCTTCAGGAATTGGCTGTATTCTGAACCAAGCTTCCATTTCTGTTGCAATTGTTGTTTTTCTTTAGCAGAAACAAAATTGAACAATACTTCTTTTCCTTCTTGATGAATAGGAATAGCAACCAAACCAGAGCACGTTCAGAATCCCAAATATTCTCTGAATACAGTAGCTTTATCTTCCTCAGGTCTCGTTTTGGGGATAGGAGAGGGATTTGTACTTTTCCGGGCAGGAATAAAAGATCTGTCTTCTTCCCGGATCCTGAAGCTGACTGTCCCTCCCCGTCCCCAGTTCTCAGCTCAGGGAGGACTTGGTACAAGTTTTCTGGGCACAGAGGCAATGTCACAAAAAAGCATCCACCAAGCACCTTATCAATTGCCCCGAGATGAGTATATTACTTAGAATCTTTTTCTATGTTCTGGGGATACATATCTCATGAAACCTTCAACTGTTTGCTAGGCAACAACCCACTGTGTTTAGGGAACTGTGTAAGATACTATAGTGATCAGAAAAGTAAATAAAACACAGGCCATGCCTCAGAGAGCTCACAGTCAAGTGGGGAAGCTGGAAACGTAATACAAGAGGCAGAGAAGCGCATGTTATGTGGAAGGACGGAAGGATGAAAATGTGTCACAGGGCAGGGCAGGGGTCAGGGTATTAGTGATGATGAGAGGGGACTGAGAAAACTTGGAGGAGGAGGTTGGGTTTGGGATGGGGTAGGATCCCCATAAAGAGAAACAGAGCAAGGCAGGGAGATGGGAGGTCCTGGGCGGGTCAGTGACCTAAAAGGCTGCGGTAGATGAGGACTCTAAGGGAACTGTTTTTGCGAAGGTCATTTGGGGCCAGATGGCAGCCACCTTGATTGCCAGTCACTAGAAGTTTCTGAGGACAGGCAATATGTGGCCAGTGCCTCCTCCTGGAAAGATGAGGCTGGAGGTTGCAGAGAGAAGTTGAGATAATATTGGATGGAGAAAATGCTGTCTGAGAAGCACCATGTTTCCGCACTTTCTGGAATTCTCAGTCTGTCATCAGCAAGATCTACCACCTCCTCAACCTCTTTCCTAAATAATCCCTTGGCCACTGCGTTTTAACTGAAACCTTCCATGAAACCTTTATGGAAGTCACTGCTCTCATTGGGCAAGGTCGGATAATAAAGCATATCTTACAAATCACTGCAGCTCCCACAGATGTGTTTCAGGAATCCCATTCTTACCACCAAGGCCCTGTCTTCCCAGATTACTCCCTCTGGGTTTTGGATTCCAACAATTCTTCAACCCCATCTGGGCCTACAATCCATTGCTGTGACAACCTTCCCATCATGCCTCACCCTTCTTTTGCCCTCACCTCCTCCTTAGTGAGCTGAAATTCCATGGTCCATTGTTGAAATCACTTCCTTGCCTACGCTCTTGACTCCCTTGTCCCTGTCTCTCTGCATCAGATATACTTGGATAAGCCACCATCTGGGTTGTGTCCAACTCACTCACACAATTAGTTGTGCTTGCACAGGTGACTATGGTTGGAGAAAAACGTGCAATTGTGCTTACTGGTCTCGGTTTAAATTCATGACCTGAGTTGGATACAGTGGCTCACACTTGTAATCTCAGCAATTTGGGAGGCTGAGGCGGGAGGATCCTTTGAGTCCTGGACTTTGAGACCAGCCTGGGCAACATGGCAAAACCTCATCTCTACAAAAAATACAAAAATTAGTGGGAGGTAATGGCATATGCCTGTAGTTCCAGCTACTCAGGAGGCTGAGGCAGAAGGATCACTTGAACACAGGAGGCGGGGGTTGCATTGAGCCATGATCACACCACTGCACTCCAGCCTAGGTGACAGAGTGAGATCCCATCTCAAGGGGAGGAAGAAAAAGAAAAAAAGGAAAATAATTTGATGGCCTGCAAACTTAGTCGGGCCCAGAATGCTGCCCAGGAGTCACACATTTCGTTTTCCCAGTTGGCTAACTCTCCCTGCCTCCTAAACCATTAGTGCACACCCGCCATCACCTCCCTCCTCCCACTACCAACTCTTTCTTTCTCATTTTCAACCTTCACTGATGACCTTTCCTCTTGTTTCCCTAAGGGGAAAAAATCAAATAATCAGAAGGAAACTCCCACCCACTGGCCGACCTGCTTCTGCACCTGTTCTCCATGGGCCCGCTTTACAGCGGCTGAATCATCCCTGCTCTGATCTGAGGCTGCGCTGTGTGCTTTGCACCGGAACCCTGTCCCCTCTTGCCAGTGAAGGACATGGCTGATAAATTCTCTTTCCTTCAGTGCCAGTGTTTCCCAATCTTGAGCTGAATCATGCCTTTTAGAACACAAACCTGTTGTAATTTCTCCGATCGGAAACAAAACTTTTTATGATCCTACTTCCTCTGTGGTTTGTTTCTCTGACGCCCTTTCCAGCAAGTTCCCTGAAGGAGTTGTACACGCTTGCTGTCTCCAATTCTGTCTTCCCACTTTTCTCTGCTGCCCATTCCAAACAGGCTTTCGCTGCCATCATTTCTCCAAAACAATTCTTACTAAGGCCACCAAATGGCCTGCACACCACAAAGGTCAGTGACTGTTACCTTTCCTCCCATCGCCCAGCTGGCTAGCAGCATTAGTGGCAGCCCAGAGCTCTGGTCGCTGGAATATGGTCTCCACTCCCTCTTAGTTCTCCTCCTCTCCACGCTGCCCCTCTCGTCACCCTGACTGCTTCTTCCTTGTACTTTCGTTTTCTAAGTTTGGAGTGCTTCAACACTCAGTCCTTTCTCTCTTCACCATCCACCCTCAGTCTCTTTGCTGATTCATCTAGACTATGGCTTTAAATACCATTAATAGCTTGAAGACTCCAAATTTGCATCTTCAGCCCAGGCCTGGCTCCTGAACTGTGGACTTACATCTCTAAGGGAATCTGGATATGTTCATTGGACACTTGATAAGCATCTTATACATGCGTCTGTGAGACTGAACTCCTGGTCAGCTCCCCTGGAGCTGTGCTGGTAAATCCACATTCCAGTTGCTCAAGCTGAAACCCTATTTCTCTCACATGTTTCACACCCCGTGTCTCCACAGTCCCTGTGGCCGCTGTCTTCAAGATAGATCCAGAATCACTTCTCACCACTTCGTCTGCTCCCACCCTGGTCCCAGCCACCACCCCCTGTCCCCTGGATTATTGCAGTTGCCTCTAACTGGTCTCCTTGCTTCTGATCTTACTCCTTACAGATGATTTCCACCATGGCAGCTCTTTTGAAATGTGCCTTGGGTCATGCCAGTTGTCTGCTTGGCACCCTTTAGGAGCCTTGCCGCAGCTCAGAATGAGCGAGTCCATATCTCACTGCCATGCCGGCCCCGGAGATGCTGGTGTACTCCAGGCTCATCCCCACTCAGGCCTGTGCACTTGCTCCCTCTGCTTGGAATTCCCTTTCCCTGATGTCTGCATAGTTTATGCCTCCTGTACTTCCTTCAGGGACCGTCATAATCCAGAGCAGCCCTTCCCAACTCCCCCCTACCAGCTGCTTTGAAGCCACCCAGTGCTGTTCACGGATTCATTTTTATTGTCTGTCTCCCCAGTAGGGAGGAATTGCTCTGAGGGCAGGGACTTCCACAAGTGTTTGGTGAAGGAGTGAGTGAATGGCACAGAGCAGGAGCAGAGTAAACACTTGTTGTACGAATAGGAAGCAAGGAAACCAAATAAAAACCAGGAAGCATTGTCTCACAAGCTGCAGGAACAATGCCACATGCTGAAGAAGACTTGGAGATCACGAGGCCTATGCACAGGCCTTTCAGTCTTCAGATGGCTTTTGAGAGGGCAGTTTCCGGGGTGTGATGGGGACAAAACACACAGTGCAAGGCTCTGGGGAGTGAGTGTGTGGGAGGAGCAAACGTGGGTGACCATCTCAGGGAGTGAAAGGATGGAATGAGTGAGGCACGAGTTTGAGTAGTTTCAGGCCAAAGCAAGGTTGAAGGAGGGTGGTGGTGCTTTTTTTTTTTTTTTTTTGAATAGGATCAAACAGACATGTTGACACAATGAAATAAGAAATATCTGACAGAAGGACAGAGTGAATAAATCTGCTGGTTATGTACACAGGTTAAGGTGTTTCCATTACATGCGGCCAGCTTCTGCTTAGTTCCATGTGAGTTAGGCACTGTGTGGACGGTCAGCGGCAGAGTTTTAATTCCAGGCGAGTACAGTGGGGCTGCTTCCTCTATTGCTCAGCTGATGTGTGCTCAGAGGGTCCAAACTCATTTTACTGTCATTCTAAGGAAAACATCATGAACACTATGAGTTTTATTCCCTTTCTACCCTGTTAAAAAAATTAAAAAAAAAAAAAGAAAAGCCCTCCAAAGCACTGCACAATTCGCCCCAAAGCCAAATCGAATTTTAGGATTGCTTAATAGTGTCTTATCTTGACCTCTTCTTAACAGAAACATTAGAATGGTTCATGGTGAAATTTTCTCAAATACAGCCCCTGATCAAGGTTAAGATCAGTTTGGTCTGGAGTAAAGTCTGAATTATAGAACACAAAGTAATAAAAACATTCAAATATCTATGGCGACATTTTTTATCCACAAGGCTGGGGGCTGGCCGTGCCTTCGAGATGCCTGTGAATGCACTAACGACACATAAAGGGAACCTTTTTTGTTTTTTCCTTTTAATCCCCTCAAGCTGTGAGATAAGAGGAATCTCTGAACTTCTGCCTGGGCCAGTGTGGTTCTGGGAATTGTCATGCCCATTAGGCCGCTTCTGTCATCCACCTGACCTCAGGCCCGAATATTAGTGTTATTGGCCCCATTTTTGCAAGTGAAGCACCGGAAAGCTAAGGAGGGTTTGCCATTGCTCAAGCACACTAGGGTGGTATAGTGTGGGCACAGTTCGTTCAGAATAGGTCTGGCTAGGCTCAGTAGCTCACGCCTATAATCCCAGCACTTTGTGAGGCTGAGATGGGTGGATCACTTGAGGTTGGGAGTTGGAGACCAGCCTGGCCAACATGGTGAAACCCCATCTCTATTAAAAAAAAAATTAGCCAAGCATGGTAGCAGGCACCTGTAATCCCAGTTAATCGAGAGGCTAAGGCAGGAGAATCACTTGAACCTGGGAGGTGGAAGTTGCAGTGAGCCAATATTATGCCATTGCGCTCTAGCGTGGGCAAAAGAGGGAGACTCTGCCTAAAAAAAAAAAGGAAAATATGTCTGTCTCACTCCAGTGCCCAAAGAGGCCTCTCTTTTACGCAGCCTTCTTTGCACTTGGGAGCAATCGTTGTTTGCTAATTAATTGGTTGGAATGTTGGGTGGGCTTGGTGTACACTGACCATTTGCTTATTGATTTTTCCTTCATGATACAACACAAATTTCATTCCAGGAAGGTGGGATGAGAACTTGGAGGCTGTACAGTGTAGCTTTTCTATGGGCTAAGGGGCTGGGTGTGGCACTTGGATCCGACAAGGGGTATAACCGGCTCTTCCTCACAGGTGGATGGTTCCTGGGCCAAATGGGAGCCCTACGGCCCCTGCTCACGCACATGTGGTGGGGGTGTGCAGCTGGCCAGGAGGCAGTGCACCAACCCCACCCCTGCCAACGGGGGCAAGTACTGCGAGGGAGTGAGGGTGAAATACCGATCCTGCAACCTGGAGCCCTGCCCCAGCTCAGGTGAGGTGGGGAGAGCAGTGGTGGCCTGGGCCCAGGGGAGGTGAGGCCAGAGGTCCCCCCCCACCTCTACTCCACGTAATGCGTGGTAATTGGGTACACAGGTAATTCAGGTAGTCTAGTATTTCTACCATGGATTCCTATTAATGACAAAGGGGCTTCAGGACAAAGCCAGCAGGTGGAGTGGTGCAGATTCCTCTTGGGGTCATTCCTCTTTCCAGTCACCCTCGGCAAAGGTGTTTCTTTCTTGATGCTTAGTCTGGGAGACTAAACGGCTGACGGGAATGAGACACTAGAAGTCCTCTTTGCTGAGGTCTGCCCCGCCCATCTTTGTAAGCAGGAGTATAGCGCCCAAGAACTTGCTGGGGAAACAAATTACATCTCTGTTGCTTTGTTTCAATCTAACACTTAGTCTTTCTTTCATATAGAAATTAGCATTTGTCTTAAGTAAGTTTTCCTTCTAAAATTTAGTCCTTCTTTCAGTTAGGCAACAAAACTACAATAGCAGTACAAATACCGTGACTTTGTCATCAGTAGGAATCATGGATATTTTCACATGACATTTTGGTTGTTGCAGAATTGTCAAAGTGCTGTTTAAGCTCATCCTTTCTTCAAAATTACAGTCATTATCAGGTTCATTACTGAATCATATATATATATATATATATTTTTTTTTTTTTTTTTTGAGACAGAGTCTCACTCACTTTGTTGCCCAGGCTAGAGTGCAGTGGTGCAATTTCTGCTCTCTGCAACTTCCGCCTCCCAGGTTCAAGTGATTCTCCCAACTCAGCCTCCTGAGTAGCTGGGATTACAGGTGCCTGCCACCACGCCTGGCTAATTTTTGTGCTTTAGTATATATGGGGTTTCACCATGTTCGTCAGGCTGGTCTTGAACCCCTGACCTCTGGTGATCTTTCTGCCTTGGCTTCCCACAGTGCTGCGATTACAGGCATGAGCCACTGTGCCCAGCAATGAATCATATTTAATACATTAACAAAAAAGCATGTATATTACAGACTTGTTTCAAAATATATAGATAGTTGTGTAGCAGATGTAATTGGTATTGTCATAAATCTATGTAATTTGTTTTATGCACTGAGTAACATTATTCTGAAAATAGTTTGCAAGCTAGAGGGAGTGTGAGGCTGGATTACTGGAGGTGGCGCATTGCTCAGGGGATGTGTTTTCGTCTGTGCCCTGGGTCCTTTGGGCCTAGTCTGCTTTAGTGCTTTGAGATGTGGAGAGCTTGCAGCTTTGGTGATGAGGGTGAGAAGGGCTCTGAGAGCCATGCCAGGCTGCGAGGGAGGCTTGTCCTTTGCACCAGCCTTGGCCCTTCCCTTCAACTTCTTTCTTATGCTTCTCCCTCCTAGCCTCTGGAAAGAGCTTCCGGGAGGAGCAGTGTGAGGCTTTCAATGGCTACAACCATAGCACCAACCGGCTCACTCTGGCCGTGGCATGGGTGCCCAAGTACTCAGGCGTGTCTCCCCGTGACAAGTGCAAGCTCATCTGCCGAGCCAATGGCACTGGCTACTTCTATGTGCTGGCACCCAAGGTGAGTGAGCTGGGGGCCTGAGAACAAAGTAGGGACCAGGTCTTCAGGGGAGCATCGTCTGAGCTGCCCTGCTCTTCCTTCTTTTTCCCCTCCTGGGGCACTGCAGGTGGTGGATGGCACGCTGTGCTCTCCTGACTCCACCTCCGTCTGTGTCCAAGGCAAGTGCATCAAGGCCGGCTGCGATGGGAACCTGGGCTCCAAGAAGAGGTTTGACAAGTGTGGGGTGTGTGGGGGAGACAATAAGAGCTGCAAGAAGGTGACAGGACTCTTCACCAAGCCCATGTGAGTTCTGGGCCCTGGAAGGTGCTGCCAGGGAGCAAAGGGAGGGAGGTGGAATTTCCCCAGGCATTGGAAGCTTGGGTTAGACTGGGGTAAATGTCACATCCAGCCAGTGCCCTTGCCACAGAGGCCACTCATACTCTTCTAGGGCTGCTATTTCTTCACTCACTTGTTCATCCACTCATTCATTCATTCTTTCAGCAAACAAAGATGAATGCTGGGGGAAGACCCACTTAACAGGAGATGCTATTTAGTAAGGTGGGCAGAATTGTTAGACAGAGTCTGTATAGTGTTCTAGAGTAAGACTGATAGGATTCAGATTGCAGTTACCCATTTTCTGGATGACCTTGGGCAAGCGAACTCAATCTCCAGGCTTCTAGATGTCCCCACTTGTAAAGTGCATATGCTATTTCGTGTGTGCTTTTCTGAGGAATAAGGGAGTTAGTCCAAGTAACATGGTTAGCATTGTGCCTGGTGCATAATAAATGCCCACTACTCTTTCGCCTTGATGAGGCTGAATGTGACACCTGCCAGCCTCTCCCTGGGCTTGAGGCCCTGACCTTGGGGATTAGAATGAGGTGACAATGGCAATAAACTGCCAAGAGACAGCAAGTGAGTGACTGGGACTGAAGGAGCCTTCATGTCTTGGGCAATCCCTGGGCATCTAGTCCCAATTCCAGAATCTGGGTCCCCCAGCTTGAGCTGCCTGAGGTCAAACACATACTCCTTGGAAACCTCTAATCCACGTTCTGGAAGAAGAGGGGGCAGGCAAGGCACTTGAGGTCCCATTTGGGGATGGGGATTATGGTTGGCCCAGAAAATTTGGGAGTCCAGGGACTGGTGATGGAAAGGCCTAGATGGCTGTCCTGGAGCCCTGACTGTGCCCCTGGACATGACAGCCTCTCCTGAGCCCCTGGGTGGTGATGTGCAGGGAGGATGCCCAGCTCCGTCTCTGGGAGCTCGGGCACTAGGACAGATGGCGTTCCAGGCTGTGCTTTGCAGGGACCTGTGATGGGGAGGCCACGTGTGGAGTGGGAGGTACATACCCCAGGCTCGCTTCGCTGGTTAAATGGCAGATGTTCCTTTCACAACTTGTTGGAGCTGGAAGGAGCCGTAGCTTAACCCACTTATTTAGCTTAACCCACTCATTATGCAGATGAGGACACTAGAACCCAGAGACACTGGCTTGCTTAAAATCACGAGGAGTTGGCGTGTGAGCCAGGCTGGATCTGCGCCCCTGCCTCCAGGACCAGTGTCCTCTAAGTGCATTGAGCTCCCAGCCTCAGGCTCTGGGAGGTGGACTTACTTCCTCCCCTGCCTCCTCCTCATAGTGGATGTCTGTACATCCTTGGTGTGTGCCAGGCACCATGCGACCTGCTTTGGTGGACTCAGTCCTCCCTGCAATTCAATGAGGCCTATGGAATTCTGAGCTCCACTTTACAGGTGAGGATGTGGTGGCTTGGAGAAGCTCGGCAATTTATCCAGCGCCAGTCGCCAAGGGGCAGGGATCTCCCAAACTCCAAAACCTGTGCGTTTACTCTCATGCCAGAAGTCACTGAAAGCTAGGTTTACTGAGGAAAACAGATCCTGGAGCGTGAGGTTCTTAGGTCCAGGCTTCTGTCTAATGCACACCCCCCCTTTCCCACCCCAGGCATGGCTACAATTTCGTGGTGGCCATCCCCGCAGGCGCCTCAAGCATCGACATCCGCCAACGCGGCTACAAGGGGCTGATTGGGGATGACAACTACCTAGCTCTGAAGAACAGCCAAGGCAAGTACCTGCTCAACGGGCACTTCGTGGTGTCGGCAGTGGAGCGGGACCTGGTGGTGAAGGGCAGCCTGCTGCGATACAGCGGCACGGGCACGGCGGTGGAGAGCCTGCAGGCTTCCCGGCCCATCCTGGAGCCGCTGACCGTGGAGGTCCTCTCCGTGGGGAAGATGACGCCGCCCCGGGTCCGCTACTCCTTCTATCTGCCCAAAGAGCCTCGGGAGGACAAGTCCTCCCATCCCAAGGACCCCCGGCTCCCCTCCGTCCTGCACAACAGCGTCCTCAGCCTCTCCAACCAGGTGGAGCAGCCGGACGACAGGCCCCCTGCGCGCTGGGTGGCGGGCAGCTGGGGGCCGTGCTCTGTGAGCTGCGGCAGCGGCCTGCAGAAGCGGGCGGTGGACTGCCGGGGCTCCCCGGGGCAGCGCGCGGTCCCTGCCTGCGATGCAGCCCATCGGCCCGTGGAGACGCAGACCTGCGGGGGGCCCTGCCCCACGTGGGAGGTCAGCGCCTGGTCACCCTGCTCCAAGAGCTGCGGCCGGGGATTTAAGAGGCGCCCACTGAAGTGCGTGGGCCACGGAGGCCGGCTGCTGGCCCGGGACCAGTGCAACCTGCGCCGCAAGCCCCAGGAGCTGGACTTCTGTGTCTTCAGGCCGTGCTGAGTGCAGTCATCCCTTTCTCCCCCCTCACTCTCCACCCCACTGATGTGCCAGTGTTCTGCCAGCTGGAGCAGTGGGCAGAGGACGGTGGCCAGGGGCTCACGCCACGATGTCACCCACATCCAGGGACAAAGACCATGAGCTAGGACGAGAGGTTGCCTCCTCCTCCCTGGACTGGGCAGAGGGAAGCCCAGGAACTCCCGCGCAGTCTACCTCAGGCCCTGCTCCTCAGGTTGGTTGTGGGGAGAGGCTTTGAGGTGCAGGTGCCGGGCAGAAGGTGCTGAGGCCCAGTTTCCAAGGGACTTCGAGGATAAGCACCTTCCAGGCAGAACTTCAGGGACCCTGGCCCCCGGAAGGGAGGCCACAGGCTGCTGGAAGAGCCATGTCCCAGCAGCTTGGCACCCTCAGGTGGCCCCATGGGCTCTGAGCCGTGTCTGAACAAGGCAGGGTTTTTACGGTGCTTTTAGCCCACTTTTCTTTTCGGACTGACAAGGACTAAGCAATAAAAACTGGCTGGGGCTGGGCAGAAGCCATGGGGAGAGTGGGATTAGGGCCCCTGGAGCCTGGCCACTCCACCTTGGAGGATGTGGATGTGCAGGGGGAGTCCTGAGGTTTCTCACCCTGCACTCTTGGCCCTCCCTTACAGAAGCAGCCTCTCCTCCCTCCGACGTGCAGGGGGTGGGACCAGTGGGAGGGCTGCCATGGAAGTGTCCTCTGAGGCTCTGCAGGTAGGGGAGAAAGTCAGTAGGGAGCCTGCCGTCTTCTTCAGGATGGAGCCAGCCGTTACAGAAAGATGTTGACACTTGCTAGGGGTGATGGAGTCTATGGCTGATGCAGGGAGTTTGGGGGAAGTTCTGGAGGTTCTGCTGTCATTGGGCTGGGGTTGGTGCTGAGCTCTGGGCCTGGCTTTGGGGGGTGTCACCCTGGGATAGGGAGGAGGAGGCTGCAGTTCTGATGGCTTCCTCCTCCACAGAGGCACATATACGCAGGCTCTCGGTGGAGGGTCTGTGTCACCTCAGAGAGCCCTGACAGCGGCCACAGTCTTGCACCCACTGTTAGGGATGGGACGTGCCTAGGAGGGCTAGGTGCTGAATACCTATGTGCCTGTAAACTCGTCTTCATTCCAACAGCTACTGCTGTCTTCCCTGGGCACGTCACACTGCATCCCCAGGTCTTCGCTTCTCCACTGTTTGCTACCTCAGATTATGCTCACTGGGAACCCAGCCGTGTCCCTCCCCTGGAACAGTGGTGACCTGGTCTTCCACCACACTCAGTCTTTGGAGACTGAGCTGTCCAGCCACTGGGATGAGGCCTGCTCCCCATAGTCCCTACTGGGACTCCAAAGCTGAAGCTAGGGCCTCTTTCTTCAGACTTCTGGGGAGTAGCTTTCAGGAGGCACCAAGAATCAATGATTGACCCAGGGGGCCTGGCAGCCACTAGTATGAACTGCTGGAGACTTGTCTGTCTTATAGACATGTCAGGAAATAGAAACAGGCATTTTCCATAGCTCCAAGTAGGGAGATATTTTGGGGTTAGAGCTTCTTTGGCTAAGCTGGGTGTTTTTTGAAGGTTCAGTTGCCCTACTGTGTACACAGGACATTCTGCTTCTGAGTGTTGGTGATGAATCCAGGACCTCAGTGGAGAACTTGAGCTAAGATCAAAGCATGTGTCTTCCTGGGGGAGAAGAGTTCAGTTCTATTATGTGGGTTTCCCTAATAGTCAGAATCCATAAACCAAGTAGCCAGCCAGCCAAGCCTCTGGGATGATGTTCTCACCCAGGTCTAACGCGGGGCTGGAGCCCTTGGACAGAGTTCATGCAAGGGCAGAGGAGGTGCCAGTCTCTGAAGCAGGGCTGGAGTCACCCCTGAAGGATTGAGTGAAGGGGAACCCCTCTGTGCCAGTGAGCACTGTGGGGCTACAGGGACAAAAGGGACCAGGATACCAGGCAGAAGCTGATCCTTGCTAGCCGACGACAGCACTGCGCCCTGTGCTTGGTGCATTCCCTCCTTGAAGATGAGAGGGTGGCACGGGGGCTGTGCAGGATGGCAGGGGGAGAGGGTGGGTGGGAAGACAGGTGCCATCGGTAGGAGGCTGGCCTCCAGGAGAGCAGGGTGACTTTTGCCATCAATCACTTTACAAGCCATTTCAAAGAAGGACAGCCACTCTGGCTCCTGACACAAGCCAGGCCTCAGTGCTTTTATCTGTTGTGGTGTTTTTTCTTTTTTCTTCTTTCCCTGTTTAAAAGAAGCATGACCAAGACAACCTAGAGAGTTTGTCTTGTTTGCCTTTGACTATTTCCTTAATGCAACCATGCTCTCCAGGGCTGAGCAGAGACTAGACTTAAGGCACAGGTTTCTGGCGATGGAGTAAAGTTACAGTGGTATCTTATGTCTACAGAAGAGGAACATTCTGAAAGCCCCAACAGCTTCTTCAGTGGGATGTGGACCAATACGGCTTTGGGTTCAGGATTCCCTAGCCTCCTTTGCCCATTGCTTGCACTGATTGGAGGAGTCTGGCTCAAACACTCTTACGGACCTCGTCATGCTGGAGTGGGGTCTGGCAGGAGCTGATGACAGTCTCAGGGACTTCAGCGTCCCTAGCCTGGCAGTTGGCTCCTGGAAGCACTAGACACTGACCCTCATTGGTAGACCTTCCCTCCCTGCCGTTGTGTTTGGTTCTTTTGCATTCTATGTACTGCAGAAGGATGGAAGGACCTGGGTGCTGGCTGGGCTGTGTATACTGTGTATACAGGGGAACTGGCTGCTGAGGTGACCACAGCCTACTCCTAATAAAGCTGTAAGTATTTAAAATCTGTGTCCTGCCTCTGCACTGCTTCTTATTCGTGCATGCATTCCTCACATCCACAGAACATGCAGCTTGTGCAAGCCATGGTGCTCGGAGCGATGGAGACAGCAGTGATCTTGACAGGCACACCTGGTCCTGTGCAGCTCCCGGGTTAGCTGAGGAGGCAGAGCTCAAGTCAGCAACCACAGAGTTGTGACAGATCATGCTTCATGTGAAGGAGAAACCAACTGATGCTAAGAGTGGGAGCTTGGGTGTGGGTGTTTGATTGCATTTGACCTTTTTCAGAGAGAAGGAACTAAGAAAAGGAAGAAAAAGGAGGTTGAGTGTGGGAGAGTGATCAGGGAAAACCCCTCAGAGGATGGGATGATGAAACAGTCTGAAGGATGAGATAGCAGCTCTGTTAAAAGGGGACAGGGGCCTTGTAGCAGGCAAGCAGAAGGCCCAGTCCTGGGGGCTGGTGGGGCAGGGTGTGAGGAGGGCTTGAGAGAAGCTCTGGGGCTGTGTATAGGTGACACAGGGTGAGGCACAGGAGAGGGCAAAGGGGCCCTGTCCTGTGGGCTTCCAGCTTCCTGCCTTAGGAGGAAACCCCAAGTGTCCTGAGGGAAAGGTTCATTCTCTTTGGAGAATGTCTCTCTCTTCCTAGTTCTGTTTTGGTTTGGAAATTTTAGCAAATATGCAGGCATTGGAGAGGTGAGATGCATTGTAAAGGACATCGAGAAACTCGTTCGGTTGCAGGTCTGAGATCCTTTCTTGGAATTTTCATTTCCTACCTGCAAAGTGAGAAGGGTAGATTCAGTGTTCTACTAGGGCACTTCCAGCTTTAGCAGTCTAGGTTTCCAGGCCCAGTTATGGTTTAGACTTTGCTAGCTGATGGTTTGTTTCCAGTTTGGGGTTCAGAGATGAAGGAGTTTCTCCCATGGACTTTCCAGCAGGGCAAGGCCATGGGGAATGACTTCCTCATGAGCTGAGAGAGCTGCCCCTTCAGGCATGTGGGTGAGGGATGTGGTGGGTTGGACAAAGTTTCAGCCCTTGACAGAATGTTCTGGAAGAAGGAGGAACTAACCAGAAGAGGCTGCATGAGTTTATGAGATAGTGGAAGGTTCAGAAGGGACTCGCAGGGGTCTGGTAATGTCTAAGCTGGAGGTCAATCATTGTAAGATCTTTCTAAAATCGCTCAAAATGTTGTCATATTCCTGGGGTTATTTTTGTAATCCTTTTTGTTTTCCATTAAAGCAATTGCCAGTAAAACATTTCTAAGGAAAAGGTCCCCTGGGCTAATTTGGGGATCAGCAAATTAGAGAGGAAGCAGAAGCTGGTCCCAACTGCAGTGGGGCCTGGAGGCTCAGGAGAGCTCCCAGCAAGGCAGTGGGGTATGTATGGGGCAACAAACTTGCCTGCATTTTCCAGTTTCTGGAGAAGCGAGTAGTTTCCTAAACTTGCTGGTCTTTGAAGAGAGGCAGGAACGATTTGCTTTGTAATCCATCCTTGGGAGGGGAATGTGTTCTTGCCCCAGTGAGAGAAAGCCTTGATCATTGCAAAAAGGTGTCGACCCCTGGGTCATGCTCCACTTGCCCAGTGAGCCCTGGCCAGCCCCCAGCAAGCTGAGCTGGCGTGGCCCAGGGCAGCGCGTGTGACCCAAGCGTCTTTCCATCGCTCCTTGGCTTGCGTCCAGCCCTCATGGGTGAGTCAGCCCTGAAGCCTGCAATCCCAGCAACAAATCACAGAAGAGCAGAACATCCCCCTTCAGGCTCTTCAGACACCACTGCCACGGTGTCACCCCTCAGCCTGCGGCAGCTGTGAGAAGGTTGCAATGAAACATTTGCTGCTTCCAAGCATGAAACTGGGGAGCGAGAGGGCAGCCAGAAACTCAGCCCTCACCTTCCCCTCCCTCCAGGCCCGCCCCTTCGTGCTCCACGGGGCAGCCCTGCCTTTGTTTTGCTCTCCTGAGCTGTGGTCAGTAACGTAAGTCACATTCCAAGCACTGACCAGAATGTTGTGAAGGAGGAGATAAGAGTTCCTGACCTCCCGAGGCATTCCAAAGAAGAAACAACTATTTGTTTCCAAAGGAGAACAATTTTGGCAGAAAGGGTAAGATAGAGGCAGATGAAGAGAGGAGGGAATCTCCTTGTGAAAAACTGGATTTGGGAAAAGGGTAAAACTATTGTCATGGTGAATGGCTGGAATTTGATGAGATTTTTAGCTGCACTCCTAGGTTGTTATGAGGAATCACCTTTGTATCATTCACTGTTCCTGTTCCTGGCCACAGTCCCACAGTCCCAGATGGGGCTTAAGCCACTGCTGTCCCAGACTTCAGACCAATAGTTCAGATGACCTTAGGGGACTGGGATTCCGGTCTCAGCAGATAGCACCTCCCACCTCTGCCATGGGTAATTGAGCAGATACTCCTGATGTGGTTTTGTTGTTGTTGACGATTTTGAGAAAAGAGCCTTGGAGAGTGCTCTGGGAATGTGTTTAGGAGGATAACATGACCTCTCCAAGCACCCTCTCTGGGCTGAGACTGCAGTGCATGGGAACCTGGTTTTGAAGATGCAGTTCCACACAGCACCTGGAGTCCAGGGCTTGGGACACAGTCAGTGGTCCATGAATATTTGTGATACGGAGGCTTCCTGGGGAACACACACCAAACCAAGAGGGATGGAGGAGCCTGTCTTCACTGGAACTATGGGGACATTTCTCAGTGCGGGCACCGTGCTGTCTGTGTCCATGGTCCTGTTTGACCTTCACAACCTCTGCAGTGCTGCTGCTCCTTGCAGCCCTCTGTTCGGCTCACGCATTTCATACGCCTTCCTTGGGGATCACGTGCTCTCTCACTGCTCAGTTAAAACCAACATATCAATGGATCCTGCATCGGCATACAGAACCCTCCTACCCACCTGTGCCCTCCCAGATTCCCCATCAACCCCACACGGATCCCCCCAAAACATCTCATTATTCATCCAGTCACATGACTTGATTCCACTTCCAGAATGTCTTCAAATTCGGCCCCTTTCTTCCTTCCCACTGCTGCTGCTGCTGTAGGGCAGGCCAGCATCACGTCTCACTGGAGTATGTCCGTAGTCTGTACCTGGTTTCCCTTGTTTCAGATTCATCCACTTTCAATCTTTCCTTCAGGTGTGACATTTAGCAACAGCATGTGCCCCATCTTGAGCTCCCATGGCACTCTCTGCGTCTTCTGATATTGAGTTAATTGCTTGTCTGTCTCTTTAGCTATTCCCTAAGGGCTTCTAGGGCAGGCTTTAATGTCCTTGCACTAAGCGCTTGGCACATGGTAATCATATATTGATAATAGCCACCACCCAGCATTAACTATATATGAGCATTATGTTAAGGGCTTTACTTCTCTTATCGGATTTATTGTTCATAACAATATTATGAATTATATTCTATCTCTTCCCCTCCATGTGTATCAGGAAGCTGAGGGCCAAAGATGTTAGGGACCTTTAGATGTTCCCCCAACTTGTAAATGGCAGCATCAGGACTCCAAGCTGTGTATTTACTGAATAAATTGTAGAATGAACCACTTGCTCTACTCCTCAAGAGACATTTTTTTTTTTTTTTTGTGGAGACAGACATGAGAAAATGATTGTGATGGAGCATGAGAAATGCTCTAACAGAGGTATGCTTATAGATCTATGGGAATTACGTAAGAAGCAATTGCGGGAATCACTTTGAGTGGACCTGGGAAGGAGTCAGAGGAAATGATACTCTTGAGCTCTGTTTTGAAGAATGAATAGAATGTGTTGGGTAGATAAGGAGATTCCTGGAAGTGTGGCCAGCATGTAAAATGGCATGGAGGTCAGGAATGAAAACAGCTTGATATGGCTGGACTGTAGAATGCATGGGAGAAGAGTGGTGGGCTTGAAGCCTGGGCTGGGCTGGGCTGCCGTCTTATCATGGAGGGCCTTCTATGTCTCATTAGGGAGTTTTTGCTTTGTTTGACAGGCAGTAGAGAGCCGTGGAAAGACTTTAAATCAGCCTGTAATCGGCTCACCACTCCAGTGAGCTGGTAGTAAGCATGGGCTGGGATAGGAAAATACTGTTGGCAGAAACACCAAGTAAGAGGCTCCTGCAATAATCCAGATTTAAGACCATGAAAGCCTGGCAGTGTAAGTGGATTGGAGAGGATGACATAAATTCTAGAAATATATAGGAGAAGTATGAGCTGGTCTTGAGTACTAACTTTGTGCAGAGTATGACAATAAAAGAAATGTCAGAGGAAATGCAGATTAATGTTTTCCATCTCAACGACTTCCTTGCTTTACAAAAGAAGTGTAAAATGAGGCCATTCCTTGACACATGGTTATGACCATGCAACAAGGGCAGGGGAAAGGCGGATGTACTTGACTTCCTCTTGGGATTAAGTTTCTAAAATATGGTACTGCCAGGATTCAGATGGATGAGATGACTGATACTTTCTCCTGTTGCTCTCACTTCCAACCACGCCTCCTTACTCGCTGCCTTCGTTTCCAGCATCACATCCCCTAAACTCCAGCCTTAGTGTTGTGTGGTTAGCATGGCACCAAGAAGACCTGGGCGAGTGAAAGGAAAAAATAGAGACCAGAAAAAACAACACAGATAGTTCATGTACACTAGAGTGAAAACAACGATATGGTTTTTCAAATGTATGTCAGCAGAGGTCATAGAAACGGATTTATTTTTTAATATACCCCCTGTATCTTTCAATTAACTGTACATTGTACATAATATATTTCAATACTGGTATCTCAGGATGTGAATAGCAGAAACACATGTTAGTGGAGTTATATTAACTCTAGGGACAGTATCACTGGATTACGAGATATTATGGCTCCACATGTCTCAACAACATATGTTACCCATAAGAAAGCCTATGGCTTTAATGGTAACATGCTGTGGACTGGATTGGCAAGTGGACTGGACTCAGGCTGACAAAAAATACAGCTCTTCTGAATGAGGGGTTTATTTTATGTGTTATATCTGGGCAAGAAAACCTTCCTGAAGCAATCTGG